TAGGTACTATGTTTCTGACAACTGCAAATCCAAGATGGCCGTCGTGACCGCTGATTGGTCGAAACTAAGGCTCTGTCTATTCGGTCATTAACCTTGATTTTATCAGTCTCGCCCTCTTTTCGTGATGCAATTTTCATCATCTTCTCTTCCATTCGTTCACGTTTGTCTCTCTCTCTCTTGCTACTCGTTTAGCTGTAGCCAGTCCCCGTTTGTGTTCCGATAAACGTGCCATTTTCCCTTTCCTTCTTAATACCTTGGTCTTTAGAAAATCCGCGTCTGATTCTCTTCCCTCGGGAGGCATCTTGATGAGAACACCTCTGGTTTACCAGAACTGCTTTTGTGCATGTAGTACCCCGTGAGTATTCTGGCACTCCGGGGTTGACAGTCCTGGAATCTCCACATTCATATCGACAGTGAAGGCCACGCCTCCTAATCTCTTATTAGGGATAGCACGGTCTGCTCTGTCTTGCGCGCTAGATTCAGCATGGGCGTGCCTTCAAAACTTAGAATAATATGTATTCATCAGTTATAGCAAGAAATATATTAATTCAATAAAGGTTTCCAGTCTAATGAGGTGGTATCGTTCTTAAGAAGACAATATATAAGTTTTGTTGGCAACTGACATTTCGGTGTATTGGTGTTTAGATACAGAGACTTAAAATCAGGATTGATGAAATCGACATGTAGAGTGAAATGTGGTCATACAGTGGCATCAGTTACAAGGCTTGAGTGCCTCTTTTTGGTTTCTGTTCAAAGTCAATCGTCTTTGCGTAAGTGCCTCCCATAATCTTAGGAGAATTGTGGTAAACAGCTTTCGCAAAAGGGATGAAACAGGGTATGATGACGTCATAATATTGATGAACCCTTGACGTCATAAAAAGGTCACCCATCATACATAAATCTGCTTCATATAGGTATTGAACGGCGGTTTTTTTCATACCGGTATGAACGCAAATCGGTTACATCCATATTGCATGAAGCCCGCTAGCTAGCTAGGGCTTCATGTTTGATATTGATGTAACCGATTTGCGTTCATACCGGTATGAAAATTTTAAAAACGCCGTTTACTCCATATATTTACCTTTTTACTATAGAACAATTGTTTTTTTTATTAACTGCGTTTTTAAGAGCCCTATTTAAATAAAATTGGCGCCAATAATTAACCGTATTCACTTGAACGTTTGACGCAGGGACATTCTTCATGTTATCCGAAGCGAAGCGACAAGACTCTCATTGAACAATGTTAATCTATGACTTCATAAGTAAACCACGTAAACTCACGAAAGTTTTTGCTTGTAATGTTCATATAGTGGGTTCCAGCGCAAATGTAAATATAGTTGCGTCTATATCAGTTTTGGAAAAAGCGATATCGTTAATGATCATGGCACATTTTTATTTTAACTATTTTTCCCAGTTAAGTTAAGTAATACTGGATATTTGTGTATGTATATTTGACATACAATGCTAATTCAGCAAATTAGCAAAGGGTTAACAAATGGTTTGTTCTCCTTTCTCCCACTTTTTTCTGATCAAAGGAATTATACAAACACTGGAAAACAATAGAGGTGTCATTATAGTCTGTTCTGGTACGTATAGTACAGGTAGATTATTTACCTGTATTTACCTGTTCACCAATAGGAAATATTGTGTTAGTTATAGGAATATTTAAAAATATATTTCCTGATTTTCGTAATATTTACTGGAATTACGAATAAATATATATACACAATATTCCAGTTATTACTTAATAAAAACACATCAAAATACATTAACTGAAAACCTGCTTTTATTAATTTCATATTAAATCAATTTTATACATTTTTACTATACATTTACATGTTATATATTTTTTCATAAAATAAAACTAAATTTAGCAACAAATATAATCAATAAAGACAGAGATCATGTATTACATTGTTAAATACGCGGATGCGCGTTATCTCGTTGCTGGCTTGTATTTCCTGGAAGACACGGATGATGCTGTAGATGTTGGGGTGGACGTGTTCAACTTTCTTCTTCAGTTTTTCTGTGCCATCCCTCTTTGTGGTTGGTTGTTCTGGGTCCCTCGGTCTCAAAGTGGTTCCAGAGCTGTTGATCTTGGTCAATCCACTGTGTCACAACGTAATCTGTAAATGGAGTGGTGTCCTGTGGTACATCAGCATCGTCTATGTCCTCCAGCGCATTGAACCAGACATCTTCTACATGGCATAGTCTAACGGAACAAGGGGTAGTACAGCGGCACGCCGTACAAGTTGTCTGAAATCGTCGTTGTTGGCGTAGAGTTGTTGAAGTTTGGTCTGCTGGACTTTCCTCCAGATACACTGTGTATATTGGAAGAAACAGCCCTTCAAACTCACAGCTGGAAACATTGCGCGGATGGCGTTCTGGACAGCAGCCTAAAGGCCAGGAAAACGGCGGTGGGATTGAGTTGGAGGTTGAATCTTGGTCTTGAGTAGTGTAAAGAATCTTTGGTATGTTGCCTGGCTCTTGCTGGGAAGTAGACTGTATACGAGTGGGTACATATGGTCTCCAATCTTGGCGTGGACAATGTAATGTAGATCTGCTGAAACTGAGTCGGGCACATGTAAAACGTTCCATCACAGAAGAGAGTGTCGGCGTAAGGTGTTAAGATTCATTATTATCAACTAGAAATATCAATGGACCCAAGCCATATGGGGTTATCAAATAGAAACATAACTAATGATTATATTTTAGGGGAAAATATTCTAATGAGTGATACTAAGTTATTAATAATTACACTGAAGACGCATTTATTGGTAAAAAAGATTCTCTGAAAATAATGCTCCAATATGAATTTGCTTCACCCTAAATTAAATCAATTTCAATTAAAAAAAAATAAAAAATGAATTAATCAAAACATTATCATCTATATATATACTATAAAATAAATATATATAAAAAAATGTGGATTTCACGTTACTGTTTTGTATGATCTAGCTGATGAAAATGGTATATGATGTGAGAGAACACAGGTAAAAACCAGGTAAAATATATATGAAACAGACTATAACTGCTATCACAACATTACTGCCTCTATGTTTTTTTTAAAAAAGTGGGAGAAAGGACAAACATAACAAATTATGTACAATGTCCGAAGGGAGATAACTCGGTCACAGAAAAAAATTAATGAAATCAGAACCCGCTCCCCATCACATAACCACAGATCGCCGTTCCAGATGTCCATCAGTCTGCGGTAAGTTCCATGTTTTTTCTGCACTTTTCACTAGATAGTGCACCTGTGCAGGTTCTGCACGAGGTCGCTTGAGAGGCCGTCCCACACCCTGTCACTGTCTTTTATTGTAAAAAAAATGTAAGCAAAAGATTTAATGATTATTTAATAAGGTCATATATTAGAAAAGATGCCACTATAATCTCAATTTCATAAACTTCTCTGTTCATAGTTATTGACGATTTACACTCAAGAAATCTAGTTTTGTTTCTTCATTGTTTCCTTTATGGCCCTATCCTGTATCGTTTTCCATTTCCCAGTGTGTGATATCTAAAGTATCAGGCTAACGATGAGTTAGGCCGCTTTTAGTAAAAAAAAAAAAAAGATTCTATTTTAACATTCATAATTATTTGAGTGCCTGTCTACAAATGTTAGTGTTTTTTGGATGCCAATATTTTCTGTATTTACACCTGGATGTTGGACAGAACTTTTGAAAGACTGGTTTAGCTCTTAAAAGGACTTTTTTTCTCTGCTTAACTTTTGACATTTTTCATGATTTTCTTTCAGACATTTTTATAAAAATGCAATTTAATATTTTTTTCTCCATTAAAGACCATTAGTCCCAGTATGAAACCATGAAGTAACCCTTGTTCAGCGGTTCCCGGGCACAGCAGATCATGGGACCGAGTCTAGTCTGCTGCAGAGGTAACTGCTGATGAGGCCTCCTTTGGATTGAAAATAACTTCAAATGTACAGATATATTCATGCATATACAAAATGTACATGTAATGCCCGAACTCATTTGGCGTACATGTATTTTTTGGTGATATGACATTTATATATTGTGGGAACCAGAATGAACTTTCAAAATTTAAACGAGTTCTGTCTAGAGACTTGGAATAAATACATATTTTATGTCTCTTAAGAAATTGCTTTTATTGAATTTGCCCTTTTTCACTATTTCGCAAATCGTATATAGGTTAGTTTAGCTTAAACATATTTTATTGCCATACGTATACATACAGAAAAGGGATGTATATATATGCTAACTGTAACCCCTTATCAAGTTCTAGTTATAGTGTGAAAAACAAAGCGACAGAGAAGCAATCAACATTCAGGACGTCGGACAGACAGACAGACAGACAGACAGACATGGGCAGTCATAAAAAAGACATACAGACAGATTCACATATGAAATCACAGTTGTTTTCCGGACTGAGGAAAAATATCTACGTTTGCAGAGTTTGGCGCAGCGTCATTAGATGCACTACATTAGATGGTCAGTGGGGGTCCTGAAGCCAAAAAAAATCTCTGGATCCGCCACTGATGTTGGTACGACTATGACAAAAAAACCCGGCCCTTTTATATAAGGGACACTATATATTATCGAGTTTTTTTATGATTCTCGGAAAACGTCCCCTCCCCCTTTAATATTGATGTTCCCCTGTCCATAGATAAGTCTTTTTACATTCATATATTCTTACTACTTTTTTGGTTTTTATATCTAATTGTTTTTCTTTTATTTTCTGTAAATGTTTTCTAAGAACACCCTCTAAACACTAGGAGATTTTTTTTCTTTTTTTTTTTATGGCACATTACTTGTAAAAGAAAAGACAAAAAATCGAACCTCCGTTTTTCAGCAAACAGTTTCACCAATGGTCTTTAATATACCCTTTTTATAGTCGATTACAAAAACGCTGTCACGTGCACCATTTCGAGGAAAAATTAGTCAAGCTCACAAACAAAGGAACGTGTGATAAAAATAGCGTTAGGGGAAAACCAGCGACAAATATAGCGGAAATACTTCCATACGAAAATTTTAACGTTGCGAGTTATATATATCTTGATCTACAAGAAAGTCTATACGCCTTAAGTAAACACAGCGACTTAATGTACAAAATACATCATTTGCCACAGATCAAGAAACAGGTAAACATATGAGATTATCATGTTATTTTTAGAACTTATCTCATTTCTAAGTAAAGACAACGTAAGGGACGTAACTCTTTCTAACCGGAACTCTCCTGTAGTTTTGGACAACAATGTCAGCATGGTTTGATACTTAGTAAAAGTAAGTTACGAACTATAATTCACAAGAACAGTTAAACGCGATTGTCTCATACAGTGTTTATAAACTTAATAATGTCCTTTGAATGTTATTTGACCTGCCTAAACAGATCACTAAGGAGTACAGCACAAGTTAGTACTTTCAGTTTCGATTTGTGTTTTAAATCCCCAAATTCATAACTTTACACCAGCTTGTTCAGGTGTGTAGGAATGATCACTTGACAATTAAGTCTTCAATCAACGTATAGAGGAATTGAAAACATTATTGTATTCTATATGTATGTGTAAGTGTATTTGATGATTTCTATTTTCTCATTTTATCTTCACTGTACAATTGATCAGTTATTTCATTGGATTATGCAACCACTTTAGACGTACAATGTAACTTATATCAGTCAAGATAACTTAGCAACAATGGAACAATTATTACGTCAGATTATGACTTCACTCTGCGGATTGTTAAAGACTATGTAATGTAAGTCAGGCATTAAATTTCCTTATGTGCAGGAAACATTGACCATTGGATCAGTTTTATAAGTTAGTTAACATCAACATCCATAAAATGTCACCCTATAATTGCTTTACATGTATATATGACTATTTATTACATACTTACTAGTAAATACAGGTTTTTTGTATATGCGATACGACACCATAGCTCTAACCCATATCAGCCCTCGCCGTATCACACCCCAAAACCCATATCAGCCCCTGCCGTATCACACCCCAAAACCTGTATCAGCCCTTGCCGTATCACACCCCAAAACCCGTATAAGCCCCTGCCGTATCACACCCCAAACCCTGTATCAGCCCTTGCCGTATCACACCCCAAACCCCGTATCAGCCCCTGCCGTATCACCCCCCAAAACCTGTATCAGCCCGCAAAACCTGTATCACACCCCTTTTTATTTTTTTTCGTTTTTCAATATTCAAAAAATAAAATTGATCATAAAATAATAGCTTTCATTAGTAAGTATGAAATAAACAGAATAAAACATGCCTTTTTCAATATCACACCCAGTATCAACCCTCTACCAATATCAGCCCTTAGCCCTTCGGCCCTTCGGCCCTCGGGGTGATACTGGGTGTGATATGGAAAAAGGCATGTATTATTCTCTATATATTTGCTTGATATTTACCAAAAATGTCAACCCCCTAATAAGTCATATTCAAAGGCCCCAATGAATAATCGGAATTCCCTATAATTTTTGTTCCTTCTTGTTGCCCCAGTCATCTTTTGTTGAGGCTGCATGGTAGGCCTCTCCACAGCTAGTAAAAGAGAAATTGAGCTCTGCATGATCAGGGTATATAAATGAACTTATATTAAGATACAATAAAATATGTCATTTTGTAGGATTCAGTTGGGTCACAAAAGAGATTGACATATATACATGTAATATAAATCCAGTGAACTATTGTAATGATGACATCAGTATTAACTCATGCATTCACCCCTGAAGACACATTTGAACTCTTCCAATTCCAAGGTTTGAATAGTCCATTATAAAATTTCAGGGGTGAATGTCAGAGTTTTCATTGACTATATGTTAACATCGTCTTGCACCATTTTAATAGCTGATGTACAGGTTCATTATATATTCTTTAATATAACTTATAAAGGTGTTAATTACAGCATATTTTAGGGGGCTTGAACTTTATAGACAAATTGATGAATTGTGAAACATAGTCTTAACTTTTCTTACTACAATTTAAATTCCCGAAAATTTGAAAGTCCTTTTGATTTGCATCATATGTCTTTTTTTTAGTCCCATTTTTTCTCTCAAGAACCTCGACTATCATCTCATAATAATACGGAGATTACATGTTTCACAAATGGCAAGCTAAAATTTTCTAAATCACTTGAAGTGTTTGTAATTTAAGATGCGAAAACAGGTGTAAAGTTTTATCAGAAGAAATTTATATGTTAATTGTTGCCTGCCAAATATGACACTATGACATAGGAAACTTGAGTTACATTTTATTAAGACACAAAAGTAGCAACAAATGCATGGAAGTCTGCTCATCTTTGCAGACGATCAAGAATTGACAAGGTTTTCTTTAATGATATAAAAGATAAAAATGTAAATAATTTAAACACTTCTAAATTATCTTTCCATATCACTTTTTCATGTTCTGTTACAGTGAATTTTAAATAACTGTGATACCAAAGAACACTGGGCTACTGTTTCCTAATTCTTAGGTTCCACTTGGGGTAATGCTTAGTTGATAATTAGGTATCAAGATTTTGTGAAACATGGAAAATAATATGTTGGTTTTCCTGTTGTTTTTTTGTCAGAGATTCTGCCAGGCAAGATGAGTGAAGGGGTGTCTCATTCCCAGGGGATCTTGGCAAGAGGGAATGATTTCTTGCGCTTTCTTGAGACCCAAGGACAACAGTTAGAAGGACTCTCAAAGACAGTAACACAGAGTATTTATGATACACAATACCTAACATACCGATGTCAAATTCATCCAGGTGAACCTAGCATTCCTTTTAACGTAGTACTTAAGACCCTCATTGACAATCTTGTACTGCATCTTCAGGGAGACATACTTCACTATGTCAGCTTCCAAAGTGACAGCGCGTATGCACAAAGTACCGCACAAAGTAGAAATCCAGCTCAGTATTTGCATGAAAATGCAGGTGCGTCAAATTTCCATCCCTTGCAGCAAACATTTCCTAACTTTGTTAGGCCAGGTTCTTCGGGCGCAGCTTTTTCACATGAAAGAAATGACACTGTTTTTAATGACAGAGGTGCAAAACCGAAAAAGAAAAAACACCCAGGAAATTTACTAGCTGTAGATCAACACATCATCATTCACAGGACACCCACAGTTTGCAAAGAAACTAGCGAAGAGTTGGCAGCATTTCAGGCCTCCATCAGTCATCTGCCTAATTACGTGACTTTGAAAGGACAGGTGTTTGATTGTTCTCCCTGTGGGGCTAAGTGTACATCAAAGGGTGAACTACTGCGCCATCTGGATGGCCGTCGCCACAGACTCAGTGTTATCACTATGAAACTCAAATCAGAAAGGTAAGTTGGAAATGAAGTGGGACTTGAATTGTCTCCAGAGATCTTTCAATTTTGTTTTCAACAAAAAGGTATATGCTTTAGATAACTGTGAATTCCAGAGCATTTGGTATACCTATGTGCTTCCTTGTTATCTTATTTTGTGAATTTGATGTTATTTATGTTTTGAAGGGAGAGTCTTATACTTGACAAAGGTAAGATACAGATCAGGGCTGACTGTGAAGGGAAAAATGGCACCTACTTCATTGACCTGAGAGAAGGCGTAGTATCAACCATCAATGTTACAATCAAAAACGTTTCCCCTGACCACATGGTAGAACTTGTCCATTGTGAGATGCTGAAGAGAATACGAGTTTTTACATTATATGATGAGAAAGATGTCACCGAGCATCAAAACAAAGTCACAATATTGCCAGGTAAGTTTAAAAATCTGTGTGTTATCAATGAGTACCTGTTTCCCACTATCTTGGGTAAACCAGTACCTGTTTCCAACTATCTTGGGTAAACCAGTACCTGGTTCCAACTATCTTAGGTAAACCAGTACCTGTTTCCCACTATCTTGGGTCAACCAGTACCTGTTTTCCACTATCTTGGGTAAACCAGTCCCTGTTTCCCACTATCTTGGGTAAACCAGTTCCTGTTTCCCACTATTTTGGGTAAACCAGTACCTGTTTCCCATTATCTTGGGTAAACCAGTACCTGTTTCCCACTATTTTGGGTAAACCAGTACCTGTTTCCCACTATTTTGGGTAAACCAGTACCTGTTTCCCACTATCTTGGGACAACCAGTACCTGTTTCCCACTATCTTGGGACAACCAGTACCTGTTTCCCACTATCTTGGGTAAACCAGTAGCTGTTTTTCACTATCTTGGGTCAACCAGTACCTGTTTTCCACTATCTTGGGTAAACCAGTACCTGTTTCCAACTATCTTGGGTAAACCAGTCCCTGTTTTCCACTATCTTGGGTAAACCAGTACCTGTTTCCCACTATTTTGGGTAAACCAGTACCTGTTTCCCACTATCTTGGGTCAACCAGTACCTGTTTCCCTCTATCTTGGGTAAACCAGTAGCCGTTTCCCACTATCTTGGGTAAGCCAGTAGCTGTTTCCCACTATCCTGGGTCAACCAGTACCTGTTTCCCTCTATCTTGGGTAAACCAGTAGATGTTTCCCACTATCTTGGGCCAACCAGTACCTGTTTCCCTCTATCTTGGGTAAACCAGTAGATGTTTCCCACTATCTTGGGTCAACAAGTACCTGTTTCCCACTATCTCGGGTAAACCAGTACCTGTTTCCAACTATTTTGGGTAAACCAGTACCTGTTTACCACTATCTTGGGTAAACCAGTACCTGTTTCCCACTATCTTGAGAAGGGGGCCTGTGGCAAAGGAATTGAGCAAATGGTGTCACTGTAATATTAAATAAAAAATTACAGAATTATACAAAAAATGTTGTTTTTGTTTTAAAAATATAACCTAAAAAGCCTAAAACACCCTTATTTATGAAACATTGGTTAATTTCTAATGTCGCCACTAGGTACTGGCCTTGTCTATCAAAAAACACCTGTAATATAATCTATTTATAGATTACATTATTGTTGTATTGATAGATGAGGCTAGTACCACGTACTTGTGATGTATATATAGAAGCATTGTCCTCTTTTCTAGGCCAGATGATTTTGTTTAATTAACCGAAATTCAATTGCGTGTTTCTGTCCAATATTTAGTCCTGATTATATTTAGATTTTCTTTGTTTGTATGATTTTTATAAAATTTATTATATTTCTGTTGATTTCAAGACTCCATATACAAGGTCAGAATAACAGCGATGGCAAAAAATGTGGGCAACTATCACACCCCTCTCGGTTTCCATTTCAACCTTGACGGACAGGAATTCCACATCGTCAGGTTCATTCACGCCAGATGTAAAAGTGCCATCACAGACCAGGTGAAATCCTCAAAGCCATATAAACGCCCTCCTCGACACTCATGGCGGAGAGAGGCTGCGGAGATTGTTGAAGGATTCCCTCTGCCGAAGTAAGGAAATTGAACATAACAGACTCACGTGGACTTGTTTTAAGTCCCCTACTGTTATTACACTGACACTATTGGATTTTAATGTGTCCGTCTATTTGTCTGTCCATCCCTCTAACATTCATGTCTGCAATGTATTTAATTATGTTTTGACAAAACTTAAACGATGAAATGTGTTATGACAAGAAAGTGTGTCTTATGCAGTTCTCAAGTTTATACTCCGGCACTAAATCAAGGTTTTAGAAAGGAGTCCCAAGCTAAAATCTTGGTAATTTTTGGTCTGTCAATAGCCTTACAATGACTCAAAGTTATTTTTGATAAACTTTCATAGATGACTAACTTGACTGGACAGTGTGTTGTCTGAAATTCTTACATCAGTGCCTCTTAGGTCAAGGTCACCAAGGGTCACCAAGTGAAGTTATTGTAATGCTCGTTTGTAGAATTTTTATGAAACGTTCAACTGTTATGAGATTGTGTCTGTACCCCAATGTCAAGGTCACACACAAGTGTCTGTACCCCAATGTCAAGGTCATGCACAAAGTGTCTGTACCCCAATGTCAAGGTCACACACAAGTGTCTGTACACCAATGTCAAGGTCACACACAAGTGTCTGTACACCAATGGCAAGGTCATACACAGTGTTTGTACCCCAATGTCAAGGTCATATACAGTGTTTGTACCCCAATGTCAAGGTCATACACAAAGTGTCTGTACCCCAATGTCAAGGTCAAACACAAAGTGTCTACCCCAATGTCAAGAGGTCATACACAAAGTGTCTGTACCCCAATGTCAAGGTCATACACAAAGTGTCGGTACCCCAATATCAAGGTCACACACAAGTGTCTGTACCCTAATGTCAAGGTCATACACAAAGTGTCTGTACCCCGATGTCAAGGTCAAACACACAGTGTCTGTACCCCAATATCAAGGTCATACACAAAGTGTCTGTACCCCAATATCAAGATCATACACAAAATGTCTGTACCCCAATATCAAGGCCATACACAAAATGTCTGTACACCAATATCAAGGTCAAACACAAAATGTCTGTACACCAATATCAAGGTCAAACTCAAAGTGTCTGTACCCCAATATCAAAGTCAAACACAAAGTGTCTACCCCAATATCAAGGTCAAACACAAAGTGTCTGTACCCCAATATCAAGGTCAAACACAAAGTGTCTGTATCCCAATATCAAGGTCATACACAAAGTGTCTGTACCCCAATATCAAGGTCAAACACAAAGTGTCTGTACACCAATATCAAGGTCAAACACAAAATGTCTGTTCCCCAATATCAAGGCCATACACAAAATGTCTGTACCCCAATGTCAAGGTCATACACAAAATGTCTGTACACCAATATCAAGGTCAAACACAAAGTGTCTGTACACCAATATCAAGGTCAAACACAAAGTGTCTGTACCCCAATATCAAGGCCATACACAAAATGTCTGTACCCCAATGTCAAGGTCATATACAAAATATCTGTACACCAATATCAAGGTCAAACACAAAGTGTCTGTACACCAATATTAAGGTCAAACACAAAGTGTCTGTACCCCAATATCAAGGTCAAACACAAAGTGCCTGTACCCCAATATTNAAACACAAAGTGTCTGAACCCCAATATCAAGGTCAAACACAAAGTGTCTGTACCCCAATATCAAGGTCAAACACAAAGTGTCTGAACCCCAATATCAAGGTCATACACAAAGTGTCTGTACCCCAATGTCAAAGTCAAACAAAAAGTGTCTGTAACTCCATATCAAGGTCAAACACAAAGTGTCTGAACCCCAAAATCAAGGTCATACACAAAGATTCTGTACCCCAATGTCAAGGTCATACACAAAGTGTCTGTACCCCAATATCAAGGTTAAACACAAAGTGTCTGTACCCCAATATCAAGGTCAAACACAAAGTGACTGTACCCCAATGGTCAAACACAAAGTGTCTGTATCCCAATATCAAGGTCAAACACAAAATGTCTGAACCCCAATGTCAAGGTCAAACAAAACGTGTCAGTTCAACAATATAATATACAGGTCACACACATTGTGTTGCTATTGAGTATATGAACATGTATTTTATAATGACAAGACTTTGTGTTATGGTAAGGGACAGTGTTTTATGTTTCAAGACTTGTATTGAATGGTTACTAAAAAGTACATCATGCTAGGTGACATCCATTGTGCTATTATTAGACAACATTATTTCACATCAGTTTTCCATTCATTTGAGCATATTATCAGTGGACCGGAACATGTTTTATATACTGAAGAAATACTTAGACATCAACTTACTAGTATCATTGCCAAACAGGCCATGATCAGATGATATAAACAACATAACAACCTTTTTTTGTTTTATCAGATGGAGCGGAGACAACCTTCCAAAGAAAATAGCTCTAGAGAGATACCGCATTCCAGACTCCCTCAGGAAAATCATCAACCATGGTCTCAAGGTCAACCTAGATAAGTACAGCGAGATTGACAGGAGTGAACTCTCCTCACTCAGGTCAGTAAAACAATTTTATATAAAAATGGAAATATTTTGCCATTTATTTCATTTCAACAACTTAACTGTGGTGTTGCTAAAAAGCAGAAGGTGCTAGCAGTAGCCCTCCTTGACAGAGGGTCAGGGCTCAATTGGGATTTATAAAGGTAAACCTTGTCGTTACTGCTCCTTCAGTACCTCCGAAGGGGTTGGGCGCCACAATACAGGAATAAAAGGGGCTAAGTTGTACTTCTTAAACAAAATGGTGATACCTGCTAAATAACCACATACACTCTAAGTGGACATGAAGAGACGAATACAACCATGCTAACTTTATCTCAAGAGTCTGGCCTTTCCCCTGGGGTCTGAGTCCTTTGGTCATATAATGGATACTGTTGAGAATCCTACGTTTTTTTTATTTTAACAAACAAAGGATCCCTAGACCAAGAGAACAATGTATAAATAAAAAGTATGGCCACACTCAGGGCTGCAAGAGGGCTTGGTCAAATAAGGGTATTGTAAAGATTTTGCTTGTTCTCAGCTTAAACTGACTCTTCTTTCTTTGATATGCCTGTACCATATATTTAATGTATTTTCAATTTTATAAAGAAGAAGAGAAAAAATAAACAGGTGGGTTATTAAGGTCCATGGGCATCTTGTTTCAATTATAGTTACGCTTACCCTTTAATTTCAAAGTCTGCTTTATTTTTTATTTTTTTATTAACTTTCCATTTAAATATACTGCAATATATTGCTAATCTGTTGATGATGCCAGCTTTTGATTGTCAAAAGATGGCAGTAAAAGGAAGTATAAGGAACACAACAGTGTGCATGCACAAACAGAAAATTTTGAGAAGACAATTACGGGTAACATCCTTACCTTCCACAAAACAGTCACAACTTGCTGCTATGTATTCTTGTTGCTATCATTCTTTCAGGAGTGTTCTTGAAAAGCCACTTAGCTGGGAAAGCTACGATAAAAGGTTTTCTGCCATGAATCACTTTGAGGAGACTCAGATGGAGGTAGACATCCGAAAATATGATATGGAGGCCGTCACAATGAGGGCGTATCAGAACAATCGCAGACTGCTCATGTTGGAGGTAGGTTTAGCTGATGATGTAAAAGCTGAATGTATTTCACATTGTAAATCAATCAGAAATCACTAAAGGTATTTCTGCCATCACAACGAAAAGTTGGTATGACCAGCTGCTTGAATTGTGTACATGTGAGTCGATCATATATTTATGTGTGTCAGGTTTTACTGTTCTGCAGTAAAAGCCATGTTGACTTATTTACATAAAATTCCCATAAAACAAATAAACTGTAAATGGTGAAGGATTATGTTTCCAGGTTAAGTACATTCAGTATACTGGGGAAATACGTCCAGTCAAACTTTCACCATACGCCAGTAAAATCCATATTTGCTCAGTGTTAATTTCGCCTTTCACATGTTATTTCTATGTTTATACAATGTATTTTATAGTTTACCATTGTTTACTGTAATGATAAATTTGCCTTCATTACTGAGGGCAAGAAAGGGCGAAAATTAAAGTGTGGCAAAAATTTCCTGGTATACCGTATTCAGTGTTATTATATGTTTTATTTGCAGTTAAGAGCTTTCCAGTGTTTTCACAAGTGTAACAAAGAATTATAAAGAATTGTATGATTTGCCTTGTTTTCGCTCCCTGTAGAGCTGATTTTGTTAGACTGTCTTTCAAGATTGTGTTGCTATTACAGAAGTATAGAATGCTGCCGAAAAAATTGTCTGTAGTTTTTACCGTGATTTGATTGGTCACAGGTACCTGGTCTGTCTGAGAATCGTCCGTCAGTGCTGAGAGGTGATTGGTTGTATGTTAGAATCTGCACGGAAGGCAGCACCGCCGACAGGGAGTACCAGGGCTATGTCCACGAGGTCAGGCAGAATGAGGTGGCCCTGGGGTTTAATAAAAAGTAAGTAGAATTTAACAACTGGAGTTCCAGCTTCTAATTAAATGTCCACACCTTCAAAGATGGTGTAATTCTTGTTGTCATAGACAAAAATGTATACTCGATGCCAGACACTCAATTCGCAAGGTTTAATGTACGAATCTCAATGTCATAATATCCTTGTCAAAGTATGAGTGCCAAAGAGACTCGGTAGCAAACTCAAGGTCTGACTCATTTTCAGGGACTCAAATTTACATAATAATACATGTAGTAGTATACAACATTTATATAGCGCCTTATTTAATTTGTAATTTGCTTTACAACACATGAATATAGCAGATAAAAAAGGCTTACAAATCACCATTATACTTTAGTAAGAAGACAATTATCTCAATATGCATATAAATGAATATATAAAGGGTGGTGTGTACGTGACGTCTGTGCAAAGAGCCAAAGATGTAGATGTGAGGAGGTGGGTCTTTATATACTTCTTGAATTTGGACATTTTTTTTTTAACTTTCTGATAGCATATGGTAAGCTGTATATATTCAACAACATGGTTGAAACCCTCCCGAAGCACCGATATATCATATCTGAGAGTAACATATATTGTAATGTCTTGTTATCAGTCTTTAAATGTCAGAATCCTGATGCCTTTTCCTCTTTAATATGAATACTTAGTTAAACCTTATCAAACTTGCTTCGAGTGTTTTAATTTACTTGATAAAGAAGTGCCTGAGGAAGTGAGGTTATAGGAACCAGGAGGTCAGAAACTTGTATTCTTTGACTAGTTTTCTTTGTTTCTTTTTGCAGATTGATGGATCAGTATGTGAAGGGCCTGAAGTTCAATGTCCGATTTGTTTTTAATCGACTACCTCTACGCCTCCAGCACAGGGCATGCTCATTAGCCAAGGATGAGGGACTCGAGGACTTCCTTTTTCCTACAGAACGGACCATATGTTCTCGAAACATGAATATTTTACCGCTACCTCTCATGTAAGTAAGACCCCCTCGCATTATACTCAGTGTTACGTTAAATCAATCGGCATGACTGGCAGGAAAACTGGTCTATCAGCAACATCTCTATTCATCACACCAGACCATTAATGTATAGTCTCAGGTATAACTAAAAATAGCTGCCAATTTTACTGGTTATGAATGATTTGTGGTATTTTAGTGTAACATTGGTGTAGCGTGTGTATAGTGCTAGCATAGGATTTGTGCCCTGTTTGTATACCATTTTCATTGCACACCTTCTAGCTTCGAGCTAGAGGGAATTCCCCTTTAGCTCAGTGGCAGAGCGGCCGACTAGGAAGTATGGGATCGCAGGTTTGATCCCTGGCGGAAGCACGCTTCTCTCTTTCCTGTTACAAATGGTGTCCGTGGCCCTTCCTGTAGTGACAGGGAGTTAGAACGCATTAAATAAATAAAGAAATAAGGAGCGGGGGGGGGGGGGGGGGGGAGTAGTGTAGTGTGGAAGTTTTTAAATGTACATATAAAGATAATGGACGCTTTCTAGCTTCAAGCTAGAGGGAATTACCCTTTAGCTCAGTGGTAGAGAGTGTCAGACTAGCTAGGAAGTATAGGGATCGCAGATTCGATCCCCAGTGGAAGCACACTGCTTTCTTGCCTGTTACACAGGTTTACTTGAAATATTTTGAAAATTTAAAATACAGTAATCTGTATTTTAAAATACATTTGCCTAATACACAATCTGGATGATGGTGTCATTTTTAAATAATAAAAAATGTCACATCTTCCAGGGCATGTGATTCAAATTAACATATCAATCACGAGTGCCTCTATTGCGGTTCAGTAAAAATGCCACCAAATGCAATTTCCTTGTCCTGTATGAAGCCTTCCTACATTGGGTTAAAGAGTATGTGTTGGTCCCCTGGGCCTATCGGAGGATAGATACAGTATATGTACATCATCACTAGGAAATCGGGTTAGAGGTGTGCCTGGCCAGACTCAAAGAAAATATGTATCTCGGATTATCAGATTAACTCACCGTTGTAGACGTCATACCATTAGTCTGTGACTACTATTGACACATCTACTGGTGTAACTGGTACACACTCCAGGTCTGTACCTCATCTCCTGGTGTAACTGGTACACACTCCAGGTCTGTACCTCGTCTACTGGTGTAACTTGTACACACTCCAGGTCTGTACCTCATCTACTGGCGTAACTGGTACACACTCCAGGTCTGTACCTCATCTCCTGGTGTAACTGGTACACACTCCAGGTCTGTACCTCGTCTACTGGTGTAACTTGTACACACTCCAGGTCTGTACCTCATCTACTGGTGTAAATGGTACACACTCCAGGTCTGTCCCTCATCTACTGGTGTAACTGGTACACACTCCAGGTCTGTGCCTCATCTACTGGTGTAACTAGTACACACTCCAGGTCTGTCCCTCATCTACTGGTGTAACTGGTACACACTCCAGGTCTGTGCCTCATCTACTGGTGTAACTAGTACACACTCCAGGTCTGTTCCTCATCTACTGGTGTAACTGGTACACACTCCAGGTCTGTACCTCGTCTACTGGTGTAACTGGTACACACTCCAGGTCTGTGCCTCATCTACTGGTGTAACTAGTACACACTCCAGGTCTGTTCCTCATCTACTGGTGTAACTGGTACACACTCCAGGTCTGTACCTCCCACTCTGTAGCATGCAGGGCTGAATTTGCCTGGGTGTTCCTTCCATGCGCGGTGCAGTCTTGATTTAAAAGAGTGAAATGACAGAGCGTTTACAACTTCAGGTGTTAGATTGTTCATAGGTTGAAGAATGTTTTACGTAAAAATGATGTTTTAGGCTATACAACAAAGATTTGGAAAACAACGATGAACAAAAGAAAGCCATACACAATATACTTTCGGGAATATCACGTCCAGCCCCGTACCTGGTGTTTGGCCCACCCGGTACAGGCAAAACAGTCACCATCGTAGAGGCCATGATGCAGGTATGGTACTCGTCACTTTATTATCCTCTCACATATCTATTTATTTCACCTCATTTTAGGTATGTATAATTTGGATATGGACCCTGAGTTCATAAATATTGAGACATTGAAAATAAAATGAGTATTCATAATGATTGTATTATCACTTACAAAGCTCATTCTGGACACAATTTAAAACTTTCCATATAAGAAAAAGTGCAGGAAAATGAAAGAAGAAAAATGAAGTTGGTTTATCACTTGTCGGTATTTATATGTATATACATACGTACATGTATTTTTTGAATCTCAGAAAAGTTTGATGAATTTTTACACAATCTTAAAATTAAAATTAGACTTGTAATTCCGCTCCTCTACAGTCCAATACATTACCAGAAATCATCATTTTGTTCAAATAAGTATTGTATTGTGTATGCTTGTTATATCTTAGAACAGCAATCTTCCACCAGGGAGGGTTGGTGGTGTCGAACGTTACAATTACAGTGTCGTACCATAATTATGATGTTATACAATAGGGTTTATTCCGTCTTTGCGTATTGCAGAGTTATCTGCTCGTGGGAGCAGGTATTGATTGTTACGTCATTTGTTTGTGAGAGTAACGTCATCAATTTTTGAGAAAACGACGTAATTTTCTCGCACAAACCAATGACGAAACAATCAATACCTGCTCCCAAGAGAAGATTACTCTGCAATACGCAAAGACGGAATAGTGACAATGGCAAGAATGGTAAATACATTACAGACAATGTAATGTTGTATATTGTCAGACAGTATAATGGTGTGTTATTCCTAGGATAGTGTTATGTGGTGTATATTGCAGACAGGGTGTTTTAATAAGCAGAAATGTTACAAGCTCAAGTGACCTATTGCTATCCGTCTTTGTCCGTCGTCGTCTGTCGTCCGTTAACATTTTACATTTTCAACTTAAGCTGAATTTCTGGCCAAGGGATTTCATTGATACTTCATGGGAATGTTACTGACAACTCCCTGACCAAGTGTTGTTATTTTTCAGGTCGATCAGAAATCCAATATGGCCACTACGGCCGCCATTTTGAAAAACAATTTCAAACTTAAAATCAAGTTCTGCATGGCCGATTGAACTGAAACTTGGTAGGAATGATCGACTCATGGTCCTGACAAAGTGTTGTTATTTTTCGGGTCGATCAGAAATCCAATATGGCTACCACTGCTGCCATTTTGAAAAACTATTTCAAAGTTAAAGTCAAGTTCTAATACGCCGATTAAACTGAAACTTTGTAGGAATGATCGACTTATGGTCCTGACAAAGTGTTGTTATTTTTCGGGTTGATCAGAAATCCAATTTGGCTGCCACAGCCACTATTTTGAAAATAACTATTTCTAACTTAAAAACAAGTTCTAATAGGCTTATTTAATTGAAACTTGGTCTTGGAATGATCAGCTCTTGGTCCTGACAAACTTAAGTTAACGTCATACTTAACTATTTTGTACTCAAATTGGTACATACTTCATCAACAAAAATAAATACTGTAGGACTCAGGTGACCGTTAAGGCCCATGGGCCTCTTGGTTAGTATTGAATCAAGTAAATCTAGTATACCCTGAAAGGAAACACTAACACTAATGACCTCCAACTGTGCATTCAACAATACTACACTGAACTGGACTGGAGACATTGATATACATTTATCCCAAAGTGTGTAACCTCTAAATAAAGGGGAATGCTTTTCTTTGTTTACAGATCTGGAAACATTTTAAGAAGTGTCGTATTCTGGCCTGTGCGCCGTCCAACAGTGCTGCTGATCTCATTGCCATCCGCCTTCTCAAGATAATTCCAAAAAATGACATTATGAGGCTGAATGCTTTCTCAAGGTCATGGGATCTTATTCCAAAGGATGTCAAGGTCAGCATCCTGGAATAATCTTACTCAAAGTTTAAACTACATCGTTATTTACTTTCTATCTCCTCGCAACGAAAATCTGTTAATACGTTTGTACGGATGTTACACTCTTTGTCAGCCATCTAGCGACTTCATTTCTCAACGGAATTTCATGAAACTTCATACAAGTGTTTGGTATGACAATGCCTTGAACAAATTGCGTTTTGGGTTGAAGGTCAAGGTCACTGTTACTCTTTTTAGAAAAAAACTTTGTTGTCGCTCTAACGGCATCATTCCTCAACAGAGTTTCATTGAAATTTGTATCACTTGTGATGTCTTGTTTAAGTGTGTAAGATCAAACCTGTATCAAAAATGGCCGCTTGATACAGGTTCAGTTCACAATAAAATCACCACAATGGGGAACATTGGATGTGGCATCTTAACACGATGTGAACAGGTTTGACTATTCCACTTCGTTTCTGATATTTGTGAATTGACATATGTAATTAATCATTATAGTTCTAATCTGTTGAATTTGACTCTAAGATTTCATGAATGACCTCTGCCCTGAACGACCTTTGTTATACATGTGACCTGTTGTAGGCTGTGAGTAACTATGACCACGGTTCTGGCCAGTACTACTATCCGGGACAGGACGCGATGGAGGGATACAAGATTATCATTTGTACACTTGTTACTGCTGGCAGGTACGTAGTACTGATCGACTTTGGGCTATTCCATAATTAATTGTATGGGGGAGGTGTTTTAATACATTATGGGTGGTGGGTTTAAAACCAGATCTGTCGACCAATCCTGATGTTAATTTTAATGGGTGATGAGGTTCCTGATAAAGAGCACCTCCCACCTCCCATATGCTCAAATAATCCTTTAATTAACCAAAACAAAATGTATGTTTCAGATAACACAACTGAAAAATTAGGGTAGGCCGGTTGATATTCATTTAAAAAGATTTTTTTTTTTTAAGATATTACAAAAATCAGCAAACATATTTATTCAGACAAGTTGTATTCATTTTTCATTATATTTGTAGCTCTTTAAGTAATAGTACAGGATTTAAAAGTTTTGAAATCTGCCTACAATAGAGAGGTGTCATAAAGATGCTCACAATTTTCGACACCTTAAAATGGGACATTTGGGTGCATTTGAGTGAAATAAAATTGCTAGGGTCAGAGGTAAAAGCTAGGGTCAATCAAGGTTCCTGAAACGTACATTTTTGTTTTGGCCTTATATCTTGAACATGAAAACAAGTTATAAACAATCACTTTCTTCATTGTTACATCTGTTTTATATACACACATATCTCTTTCCAATTTCATCAAAAAAGGAATAGGATTAATGCAAGATGGTTACAGCCCTTCATGAAATAAAAAATGAACTTATTGAAGGCAATAAAATGGAATATAAGGCGATTTGATTTAAGTTTAATCTATACCTTTCTTGTTTAGGCTTGTGTCTGCAAACTTTCCATCTTGCCACTTCTCCCACTTTTTCGTGGATGAGTCGGGCCATGCTGTAGAACCTGAGTGTATTATTCCTCTGGCCGGAATCTTGACCACTGACCCACAGTTAGAGTGCGGTCAGGTGGTACTAGCTGGTGACCCGGAACAATTAGGTCCAATCCTAAGATCACCTTTCGCCATCGAGTACAAACTAGGTGAGTCCTTTATCCAACATTAATTTCTCATTTCATTCATCCTTCAACAAAATAGAATACAGCTTATGAACACATCATCATAAACAAGGTGAACTGTTTCCTGTACATTACTATCTCAAGTTACTTGTTGTTAACAAAATAGCATACAGTTTAATTTGATGTAGACATGGGCGTGGACAATATAGATTTTACCAGGTACATCGCTATATCTCAAGTCAAATTGAAATTTATACAATGGGCATCCTACCTCAGATTGAATGCGATACAAATATTTGCACTTTGCAATTATAACTGATACAGTGGCACTGCTATCAGAAATTGAACGTTTAAAAGTTTGAATTGAGAAATATATGGTGAAATTGAATTTTTGTCTATGTATTACAGATGTATCGTTGCTGCAGCGCTACATGACGACATGCGAGGTGTACAAAAGGACTGACACAGCAGGAGGTACCGGGTATGACAACAGGATCATAACTAAACTGCTACAAAACTACCGTTCACATCCAGCAATTTTACATCTCCCAAATCAGTCGTTCTATCAAGGCGAATTAGTTTACTCTGCTGACAAAGGCAAAAGAGAAACTTTCTGCCGTTGGGAAGGTCTTCCAAAAAAACAATTCCCGGTTATTTTCCATGGGGTCCTTGGTCAAGATGAGAGGGAGGAGAGGAGTCCGTCTTTTTTCAATGCAGCAGAAGTTGACAAAGTCTGGTACTACATTGATCTCCTATTGCAGAATAAAGGCTACAAACTGAATCCAAAAGATATTGGAGTTATTTCCCCTTACAGGAAACAGGTAATTCTTTTTACGCTTATTTAAGGTTAATTTTACAAACTACAGGGAAGTTTCTTCTCAAAAAATTTCATCATTGTCTAATGCCTCATTTAAATATAATAATTTTTTACATCTATTATCTTAATTTTTCCTTACACAATGACAATAGCAATATGTTTGTTATTTTGATAATTTATTTCATCTTGGAGACGATTCAACAGACAACGATACAAAAATAGATTTAAAAAGATACTTACCCCCTTAATATTATTTCAGGTCCAGTAGCTGTAGATTCAGGCTCAACAAGATCGATACTTAAGCGCCTTATTGTTTCAGGTCCAGAAGATTCAGGCTTTACTTAAAAAGAAGTCACTGAAAGATATACATGTGGGGTCAGTGGAGGAGTTCCAAGGTCAGGAGCGGCTGGTCATCATCGTGTCCACTGTCCGCAGTAACCCTGATTACCTCTCCTTAGACATCCAGTACCGACTGGGGTTCCTCAAAAACCCAAAGGTTAGCTTAACTATAATCTGTTTTTTTGAAAAAGTTCTATTTTATAAAGTTCATAAGTACAGGTAGAGATTTCTGAGAAATACATGAACCTGCATGGTATCTTTAATGAGGCAAGGTAAGTCTAGTGGTAGGACGCCGGGCTCATGAATGAGCGAAAGGGTTGCAGGTTCGAGTCACGTCACGTCACGGCACTGTGTTGTATCTTTGAACAAGATAATTTACCCTGCTTGTTCCAGTCTACTCGGCTGTAAATGAGTACGTGGTTGGGCAGTGCTACAATTGTTCATTGCTAGCTATGAGTGCCGAAATGGCAGCACCGGCTGTATTCTTCCAGGGAATTGAGAAAAATATTGGCTGGTTAATGCAAAAGCCCTATAACCAAGAATAATAATTTGTGAATCCCTTTGAGACCACCTACGAACTAGGTTGTGATAAAGCGGTATATAAGAACCTCAATTTATTATTACTATTATAATGATGTGAAAAGATTTTATTGTGTTGGTTGAAAACATTGGATTTAAAAAAAACTTTTTTTTGGAGGGAAGGAGGGATCTGGATCAGAGTCATGCAATTTATGTGTAATATACAGGGTGCAGAAAAGTCACCTGGTGTCACCTCAGTTTATTTTGTGAAAGTACATGTTTCGTTTTGGTTTATTTTTGGTTCCTTTTTTTGTCTTTCATTTGACACGTCCTTTGATTTGGTCCTGACATTTTGATACTATGGTGTATATTGTATATATTTCTATTTTACTTACTGTTTTACTTATCTATATATTTATTTCAGAGGTTCAATGTGACCTTGACCAGAGCGAAGGCCTTATTGGTTGTCATTGGAAACCCCCAAACATTGTCACATGATCAGCACTGGAAAAGGTATGAGCTCTTGATTTTTTAACTCGTTGATCTAAATATTATGTGAGTACAAAGTTTTGAGTGTTTTCTCTCGATAATGTGTTTATTGATAATATCTATTAAAACACTTACTTATATAACAAAAAAAATTTCCAGTAAAATGTGAAGGCTTTTTGTATACAGAATGTAATACTTTTATTTAGATTGAAAGACTGCAATAACAAAGTAATATGATGTGTATATATGGAAAAAAAATCTTTTGGATAAAGAAACCTTCTTTTTTGTAAAACATTGGATTGTTGAAATGCTATGCCATATTTATACATTTGAATACTGTTGAACAAGATTTGTTGAAAAGCTGTGTCTTATTTATACACTTAATACTACTGTTGAACAAATATTGCTGAAAAGGGGTGTCACATATACATGTATACACTTAATACTGTTAAATACATAGATAAACTGTTACACTGAATGTTGACTCCACAGCTATATAGATAAACTGTTACTCTGAATGTTGACTCCACAGCTCCATAGATAAACTGTTACTCTGAATGTTGACTTCACAGCTTTATAGATAAACTGTTACTCTGAATGTTGACTCCACAGCTTTATAGATAAACTGTTACACTTAATGTTGACTCCACAGCTTCATATATAAACTGTTACTTTACTGGTTGCCTTCACAGCTTCATATATAAATTGTTACTCTACTTGTGGACTTCATAGCTTCATAGATAAACTGTTACACTGAATGTTGACTCCACAGCTTCATATATAAACTGTTACACTGAATGTTGACTTCACCTACGCATAGATAAACTGTTACTCTGAATGTTGACTCCACTGGCACAGATTCATAGATAAACTGTTACACTGAATGTTGACTACACAGCTTCATAGATAAACTGTTACTCTGAATGTTGACTCCACTGGCACAGATTCATAGATAAACTGTTACACTGAATGTTGACTTAACAGCTTCATAGATAAACTGTTACTCTGAATGTTGACTCCACAGCTTCATAGATAAACTGTTACACTGAATGTTGACTACACAGCTTCATAGATAAACTGTTACTCAGAATGTTGACTCCACTGGCACAGATTCATATATAAACTGTTACTCTGAATGTTGACTCCACAGCTTCATATATAAACTGTTACTCTATTTGTTGACTTCACAGCTTCATAGATAAACTGTTACTCTGAATGTTGACTCCACAGCTTCATAGATAAACTGTTACTCTGAAAGTTGACTCCACAGCTTCATATATAAACTGTTACTCTACTTGTTGACTCCACAGCTTCATATATAAACTGTTACTCTACTTGTTGACTTCACAGCTTCATATATAAACTGTTACACTGAATGTTGACTCCACAGCTTCATAGATAAACTGTTACTCTACTTGTTGACTCCACAGCTTCATATATAAACTGTTACTCTACTTGTTGACTCCACAGCTTCATAGATAAACTGTTACACTGAATGTTGACTCCACAGCTTCATAGATAAACTGTTACTCTACATGTTGACTCCACAGCTTCATAGATAAACTGTTACTCTACTTGTTGACTCCACAGCTTCATAGATAAACTGTTACTCTACTTGTTGACTCCACAGCTTCATATATAAACTGTTACTCTACTTGTTGACTCCACAGCTTCATAGATAAACTGTTACACTGAATGTTGACTCCACAGCTCCATAGATAAACTGTTACACTTAATGTTGACTCCACAGCTTCATCGACTACTGTAAGGAGAATGGGGGATACACAGGGTTCACATGTGAGCAGGAAGAGGAGGAGGAGTTGCTTGAATTGGAGGAAAGACTGAAACTAATGAAACTTTGGGACCAAGGTAGATCTATGCATATACATCATTTAGTGTCTTCATGATAAAGTTATTTATTAAAAGATCATGAGTCAGAATTTTTAGCCCACCTGGTCCGAAGGACCAAGGTGAGCTTATGCCATACCGTGGCGTCCGTTGTCCGTCAACAATTTCTTTAAACGACTTCTTCTTCTTAACCACTGATTGGAATTTAACTAAATTTGACTGGAAGCATCCCTAGGTGGTGGGGATTCAAAATTGTACAAATGGTGGGGCTGACCCCCCGGGCTAAGGGGTGGGGCCAAAAAAGTGTATTACTTAGAAATGGTTGAGATCCCCCCCATATAACCATATATACAATTGCTGAGTATAAAGAGAAGAATGCACATTTGCTTCCAGGATGGCCCTAGGGTCTGGCCCCACCCTTGGAGACATAGTCCCTGGGCCATAACTTTGAAACGGTTGAGATCCCCACCCCAAAACTATATATACAAATGCTGGGCATAAAAAGACGAATGCAGTCATGATATTAGAATAGACCCTGGGGTCTGACTGAACCCCTAGGGACCTAGTTTCTTAGTCACAGCTTGGAAACAGTTGAGATCCCCACCCTATAACCATATATACAATTGCTGAGTATCAAGAGATGAATGCACATATGCTTCTAGGATGGCCTAGGGGACTACCCCACCCTTGGATACTTAACCCCTGGGTCATAACTTCGAAATGGTTAAGATCCCCACCCCAAAACTATATATACAATTGTTGCATTGCATAAAGAGATGAATGCAGTCATGATGTTAGAATTGGCCCCAGGGTCTGCCCCACCCTTGCAGACTTAACCCCTGGGTCATAACTTTGAAAAGGTTGAGATCCCCACCCCAAAACTATATATATTCATGCTGGGCAAAAAGAGACAAATGCAGTCATGATATTAGAACTGATCCTGGGACCTAGTTTCTGAGTCACAGCTTGGAAACAGTTGAGATCCCCACCCCATAACCATACGTAAAATTGCTGGGCATGAAAAATCCAATACAGATATCTACACGGATTGGCTTTGGGGCTTTGGCTTTGGCTTTGGCGATACAGGCCCTCTGGGCCTCTTTATTTTCTGGCTAACAAAGTTAGCAGGGTATATACAAAAAGGGTTCTGTCTATGAGTCCATCTGTCCCTCAATGTGATAGAGTTTCCACCCTATAACTCATTCCAGTAGTCCAGTGGTATTTTGGTATTAAAAAGTTTTCATTTTTTGTGTTTTCCCGTTACCATGGATACAAAAATCAAGAAATGCAAAATTCATTCTTTCCGCAGCATATCTCAAAACAATCATAGAGATAACTTTACAAAAACATTCTAATTACATCAATCTAGTTGTCTAGTAGTGGGTTTTACTCTTCAGTTTTTTACTTTTGCATTTTTTTCCCCTTTTACCATGGAAACAAGGGGCCTAAAATGCAAATCATCTCTTAGATACAATCCTATTGGTAATAGATAGGAAGTCGAGATACGAGATTCAAGATGTCTGATTTGAGCGTTGAATAAATGTCAGATTTTAGTATGTACAAAAATGTATATGGTTGTCATTTGTGTATTGAGATTTCATAATTGAATACTGAGTCGTCATATGTGAGATATCTATAATCAGATTTGAGTGTTGAAATGTGATATTGAGTATTTAGATGTGAAAATTGAACATTGCAGTGTCAGATTTATTTTTTGGAATATCATATTTGTGTGTCAGAAGTGAGAAATTTTAGATATTAGATTTTGGTACAATTGTACTGAAATGTTACATTTTTAGTGGCTAGTTGTTAGATTTCAGTATTGAAATATCATATTGAGTTTTTAGATGTAAGAGAGCTGTATGGAATATCATACTATCATACTGAGTATTGAGATGTCAAATTTGGAAAGCGACATGTTATGTTTTAGGATGTCAGTTGGAAGATTTGAAATTATTTCCAGTAGTGTTGCAGAAAATTACTTACACAACATAGCATGTCTGGTAAATATGAGGGATAGCTCCCTCAATGCCCTGCCTTTGAATCAAAAATTCCCCGGGAATGAAACCATAAGGTGTTTCACAATATCATTTTTTTTATAATAAATCTATTTCTTTCCTACATTCACCCCTGAAGATGCATTTGAACTCCTCCAATTCAAAGGTTGGAACAGTTCATTTTGAAATATCAGGGATGAATGAGTTAAATGTGTAGAATGTATGAGACAGAGTTCTAGAACTATGTAACTTCAAATGATTACTTGAACCTAAAATGGTCCCTAGAAAGACCCTGATATATATATATCTATATATGCATAGGCTTGAAATACTAGTAACTAGGAAATACTGGAAACCAGGACAACCAGAATATACATTTTTAGGTCACCTGAGCTTTAGCTCAAGTGACCTATTGCTATCCGTTTTCGTCCGTCGTCGTCCGTCGTCCGTCGTCCGTTAACATTTTACATTTCAAACTTAAAGTCAAGTTCTGCTGGGCCGATTGAACTGAAAGTTGGTAGGAATGATCGCCTCATGGTCCTGACAAAGTGTTGTTATTTTTCGGGTCGATCAGAAAT